TAATTGCTTGTACCACCTCCGCTTAAGAAATTTGATTAAATTTTCAGAAGTTTAATACAGTTAGTTTGGGGTGTCCATGGGTCGGGGTTGGCCCATGGATTCAATTATCCGGCCCAAAAAAATAGAACTGAAGCCCGAGAGTTGATCCGTCCGAGCCCAATATCTTTTAAGAAAATGTTTGGGCTTACGCTAAAACCCATTACCCGTCCGTAAAAATCCAACCCAAGAGCCCACCTGCCTAACCCAAGCTATCTCCCATAATTTTGAAACCGGGTCCAGACATCAACCCGGAAAAGTGACCGAGTTAATAGGTTATTGGTTCAACCAGTGGGTCATCGGTTGAATTGATTATATAATTAAAAAAATTAAAAAATTTATAAATAGGTTAAAAAATTACAATAATTATGAAAATAGCATCCTTAATCTATGAAGTACGGATACGGACACAGGATACGGGTACGGCCAAGATACGGCTATAATAAAATATTTTTATTATTTTCAACCAACTTACCAATAATATATTTTAGTAGTTCTTTAACATATAATAAGGAAAATTAATAATTTTTTTTAGTTTCAAGAAAATATATATCACGTCGTTGTGGTATATTCACAAAATAAAGTGACTAATTAAAGAAATCAAACCTAATATTTACATAGTATTTAGAAGTAATTTTTGCTAAGATTATTATGTAATAGCTTTATTTTATACTCTTTTGACATGTAATTATAAATAATACTTAAAAAACACTCATTTGCCTTTGAAGTAATATGATTTTTTTGTTAATGTATTGTATGGTATGTGAATTCGAAAAGAGATGTTAAAAGTTCAAATAAAAAATTATATATGTTGCTATACTACAAAAATATTTGTGAAGTATCTTAATATTTAATTATTATTGGATACGTAAAAGGTGTATCTGATATGTATTTTTGAATATTCGACGAGTATCATATCCAATACGGATACGTCAACCTCTACGAAGTATTCGTACTTCATAGTCCTTAATGTAAATTAAATAAAACAAAAACCCAAAATCATCAACCATGTATTTAACCTATTCAATTTTCAATACAAATTTGTAAATCACAACGAACATAAGCTTGTAAGAAAATTATACAATAAAGAACAAGAGCATAATCAGATTCAATATGCAACATCATCAAAACCACAATCAGATTCAATATGCAACATAATCAAAACCATAATCAAATTCAGCAAAATCAAATCATAACTAAATAAAAAAAATTTCAAAGAGACTCAAACCAGACCATACTAGACAGAGGGAGAGGGGGGAGGGGGGATAATTGGAAATACCTTATGCCTGCCGGTGTTTCAAACTTAAGGGAAGAAAATGGGAGTCGTCGTCAATTATGGAGCTCCTACCTTGACATCGAAGGTTTGTTGCTTCGAAGTTCAAACTCCACCTTTACTTCGAGTTCGACCGATGCAGGCTGGCAGCGCAGAGAAGAAAAGTCAGAGAGAGAGAGAAAGAGTCTGAGAGTGAAGAGGTGGTCTATCTTAGCCATTCACGTCTTCTCTTAAGAGGAAAGAAATCAGAAACAATATAGGGCACAAAATACCCATTTGCCCCAATACACGTCTATTTATCGTATTGACATTAATCCATTCGGGTTGAACGGTTCACTTAAAAATCGGACGGTTCAACAGGTTTGACTTCGGTTCTCCGGGTTTTCGGGTTGACCCACCAGGCCGGACCGGATATGATTTTAAAACAATGCTATCTACTCTATTACCCTCAATGCCAGAATTCAAAGTTTTATAATTTAAACATTAAAAATAATATTTTTTTTCTTTTCCACATATTAAAGATACTCGTTTTAAATGATAAAATTGTACAAATGATAAATAAATTGATAGATATCAATCTAGTTGGATATGTTCATTCTATTATAATACAGTTCCTCCCATATTCATAAATAAAATTATTCATTAATTATTTTTTGTTTATTTTAACTCTACTTTTAATTAAAAAAAAATTTATAAAAATATTAAGTTGAAAACTTTTTAAAAGAAACAGTATATATACATATATAGCTCCTCGGTCTCAAACTTATATAGTCCATTGTCCTTGAAACTCTCATTTGCGCCTTTGGACTTCCACGAAATGAAAATGGGTGACATCGTCGTATGTTCTACTTTTATTTGTTGTCCTGCTTTATATCCCGGAGTACTCCTATGCTTTATATCCCGGAGTACTCCTATGGCCGATCTATCACCCAATTCTCTTTTCTTGTAGTTTGTCACTTTAAGGCGAAGACTAGAGAATCAGTGTAAGCACTAGTTCGAACCCCCCCCGGCATTCTTTTCAATCTTGTGCCCTCTATTTGAGTAAGTGCTGTCGAGAGAAGATATATATATACTAGTTATAACTCATGTTTAAAGGCACGATAAAATATAAAATTTGAGCATCTAAAAAATAGGTCACACCATATTAAATAATAATTTTTTTCTTAATTTATTTTATTACATCATTTAAAATTTATTTTTATCTATTATTTTTTAAAAAATATCAACAAAAATACGTAATTCGATAAATTTTATCAACTTCTGTATACTATCGTGTATGGATAATGTCTAAAATAAAAATTATGTTAAACTACAAATTAATCAAATATTAAATGATTAGATATGTGATAGAAATGGATGATGTAACGATTTTGGAGAAAAAAAATATGTATGGAATAAAATTTCAAACACCAAACTATTTTATTATATAAATATACTAGTTATTGTCTGTATCTGAAGGCACAATGTAATAAAAAATAGTAAATAATAAACATATTTGTATTCATATCCAAAATCAAATCACAAATATAAAAAAGAAATAAAGAAATTTAAATATCGGTTTGTAGTGGAGGTAAGAGGTGGTGGGCGACAGTGGTGTTGGTAGGAGACGGTGATGGTTGTAATGGGTGACAATGACTGTAGTGGTGGAGATGGTGGTGGTGGCGGTGGCGGTGGTGTTAACAGTGGTGGCGGTGGCAGTTGCAACGGTGGCAACGGCGGCGGTGGCAGGGGTGATGCTGGTGGTGGTGATGGGGGATTGGTGGTGGCTGCGACAATGGTGGTGATGGCGACGGCGGTGGTGGTAGAGGTGGCGGTGGTAGTTTGCGGTGGCAGTAGGGGAGGTGGTGGTGGCAGTGGTGGGTGTGGTGGTGGGGGGTTGGTGGGTGTGGCGGTGGAGGTGGTGACGACGGTAGTGGTGGCGGTGGTGGTTGTGGCGGTGGCGGTGGCGGTGGCGATAGCAGTGGCGACGACGACAGTGGTGGTGGTAGTGGTAACGAAGGTGATGGTGGAGGCGACGGGGTTGGTGGTGGTGGCGGTAAAGGTAGTGGTGGAGGCGGCGACGGTGGTGGTGGTGACAACAATGACTGTAGTGACGGTGGTGGGGATGGTAATGGTAGAAGTAGTGGTTGAGCGATTTCAAACATTATTATTTTTTTAAAGTAGTTATGAGAATTAATTTCTAAAAGTATTTTTAAACAATCACTCCAAACACACCTTCAAATGCCTATTTTTCTTATTAAATTTAAAGTATTAATATTAGTCGTTGGATAAACGTTAAAGTAAAATTTAAAGCGATCTCAGCCGCGAATAGTAAAAATTATTTTGTTTATGTTTTGAGATTTGAATTATAAGTTACATTATTATATAGATATTAAAATATGGTACCCTACTCTTACTTGAAATCCGGCCCAACCCAATCACCCAAGTAAAGACTTGGACCTAACCTATTCAGGCCCAGCCCGGCCATGGACACTCCTACTTCCGCATCATGTGAGTCACGTTAAGTGTTAAGGCAGCATCTCCTTTGGCACTCCCAACCTTTAGGTATGCTTTAAAGTAAACTAATTGGACCCTTCTGCTTCTTTTTGTTGGTGAGAGCACTATAATTATATAAAGACTTGGACCAAGTCCATTAAATGAATCTTTGTTATAAATTATCCTACTCCATGGCACTTTGTTTCCTAAAAAATTTTAAAATTACTATTTTGTTCTCCTTAAGATCAAAAATCTCACATTTACCTTAGACTTTTTTAAAATGGTAGCGATCTTTCCCAACAACAAAATGACTTTCGGTTTTTCATCTATAAGAATATTTTAACATCGATTGACCTACTACAATTGCATGGTAATTTTGCTTTCTTCCACTAAAAAGTAATTATTTCTGATCAGATGCGTGACACGCCAAATGTCAACAAATGAAAAATTAGATGACGTTAACTAATTGGGGCACATTTTTATTTGACAAAATTCATGATGTTTTAGTGATTGAAATGAAAAAAACAAGAAATTTAAAAATGATTTCGAGAGCTGAAGAGAAAAAGGGAAACATGTAGGCCTGAATCCACCGGGCTTTTTCACTTTTTTGTTTTTGCGCCATCGCATTTTGACTCACTTTGGCCCAATTCACATGAAAAACGATTCAAATATGACACACATCACCCGATTCCCAACGAGAAAGTGAATTTAATGGGATAACTATGTTATCGAGTTCAATCTCATTTTGAAAGTTACAACAAATAAGGATAAGATTACGATTCGGTCTTATGACGTTACGCCTCAAGTTAGACCAAAAAAGGTGAGTTACTGCTAAAAATATTAGGTTCAATTCTATAAAGTTATAATCAATCTGAAACGACTTTTTATTTCCTCATAATCTTACGGAATAGAATCGCAACGTTTTGTTTATTCAATAGTTATTTTTAGCAGAGTGTCAAAAAACGATCCTTTGATACAAAAAGAGTATTTGCTGTGAATTAAGTGTCGGTCTATAAATAATGATTGTTTCTCTCTTTGTAGCCTGAGCAACAGCTCTGAGGAAGACTGGAGAGCTTTATCAAGTAAGTTCTTTAAAGCCATTTCCTATGTCTTGACTGCATATATATAGATTTTTTTTTTATCAAGTAAGTTTTTTTTTTTTTTTGACATATGAATACCACACAGAGAAGGTCATTTCTAGTTCTAGAAGCTAAAGATGTCTGAAAGAGCTGATCACATCTCCTTAATGATAGACGAACAGCTTGCCTGCATATCTCCTACACCCTCTGACCATTGCATCTTTAGAGTATATGATGAAATTCGCGTTGAAAATGAAAAAGCCTATGAACCCTTGAAGCTTGCAATTGGACCTTATTATCATGGTAAAGATAAGTTACTGGATATGCAAGAGCACAAAATGCGGTATCTACAGCTACTTCTCAAAAGGATAAATGAGACGAGTGTGGACAAATACATAGTGGCCTTGGGTGACATGGAGGAGAGAGCTAGAAAATGTTGTTCAGAACCTAGTGTTCTTGATGAATATGAATTTCTAAAAATGATGCTTCTTGATGGATTCTTCATGATTGAATTATTTCGTAGGCATGAAAACCCTTGTCTCCAACTTATCGAAAATCAGAATGACAATGACCCTATTTTCCAATCTCACCAGTTTCGAGTTAACATACGACGTGATTTATTATTACTGGAAAATCAACTACCATTTTTTATTGTTGTGAAACTGTTCAACATGACAACGGATACAGACACACATGAAGACATCCGTTATTTGGCATTGTCTTTTATGGAATATGTATTGCCAGGGCCATCTCTGTCAAAACCTTCAGAAATCGAAGTGGATGATGTCAAGCATCTACTTCACCTGGTACACAACTCTATGTGTGCTTCATTTGCTAAGGTTGTATCATATGGAAATGAAAATGATGAATGGGAATTCATAAGCTCTGTCACACAGCTCCAAGAGGCAGGAATTGAATTAAAGGCAGCCAAGGAATGTAATAGTTTATATGATATTAAGTTCAATGATGGGTTGACTGAAATTCCCCCATTCTCTATTGGTGATGAAACTGAATCAGTCTTCAGAAATCTAATTGCATATGAACAATTTCTTCCTGATATTCATCGATGATATGTTGCCGATTATGCCAAATTCATGGAGGCCCTTATTAGTCCTCCTAGCGATACCTCATTGCTTCGTAGCTGCAGAATCATCAAAAACTTTTTGGGTGATGATGGTGTGGTTTGCACCATGTTAAACAATCTTGGGAATGGGCCGCGCTCTCCAAAAACTTCACTTACACTCAAGTTTTCAACAATGTCAACAAGCATTGTAAGCGACCTTACAATAGATGGATGGCGAACTTAAGACGGAATTATTTCAACAGTCCATGGGCATTCATTTCATTTGTTGCCGCTTTTGTATTGCTCCTACTTACTGTGGCGCAGACTATTTTTTCCGTTCTTTCCTATTTCTAGACAAATCCCATGTCTCGTGTGTTGTTTCCTCCCTACCCCCAAAACCCCCTATTTTCATGTGGAAAAATATCATGTATAAAGATGTTGTAAGTGTTAAATTGTGCAATCAAACAACCCCTTAGTCTACTCCTAATTGCTTGAAAAGACGAAATTGATTTGCCACTAATTAGATTAGACTCCAAGTGATGTGGAGAGATGGACAAATCCTTCATCCAATTCTAAAAATTGGGCAGATCTGTTAC